AAGTCACCCTAAACTCAAAACATTTAGCACCTTTCTAAAAACGCTCAGCGTGCTGGGACATCACATTCTCACTTGGTGGTGAGGTCCTTATTCATTGCTGAGGCCATCAGGTGGTACTATTATTATTATTATTATTATCTCAGAATAATTATTTGGAAGCAGAAGGCTGGTCCAGAGCCCCACAGTGGTGATGGGACAGGCAGAAGAAACAAAGCTGTGCTGGGTTTGTGTGGCATCGCCTGCGTGAACACCTGACTTTGCTACCCTGCTCTGGACTCTCACTGTTAACATGTAAGAAAAGAAGAAGGGAAAAAGACAGACGGAAAAGATGGTTTGCACTATCTGTGTTGAGCCAAATTCTGGACTCTCTGGGGAGTTTTTCTTAATTAAGCATTTTCATTCAGAAATGACACTGTTCAAGTGACACAAGTTGATTTCTTAGACTGCTAGTGACCAAACACATTGAGCACTTCATGAAATTCCTGACTCAGGAAGATAATTGCCTGCAACCACAGCCATCACATTTCATTCAATAAGTGAATCTTTACCATGAATATGGAGAAGGAACAAACTGTGCTCCTCAGCCCACAACAGCATTGCACACAGCACATAAACCCTCCTACCCCTGTGCCCTGGGACAGGAGCAAAACCAGGACAAGCCCTGCAYTGGAAAACCAACCAAAATCTAACTCAGCATCTGCCTCATTCCATTCTCCAGCCACTAACCCACAGTCTGAAATGTAGAAATTAATGAGATGGCTCAAACTGATATCTGGTGCCTCCATGTTAATCTTCTCCCTTAATAAAGTATCTTTATTAGTTTAGCAATCCAAAAATAACTGGCTGCCTGATACTGACCAGCCCTAATCAAAACATCTGCCAGCCCATCCAGCTCGAGCTACCCTTTAGATCATGTGCCACCACTTCAAAGCCTGTGCATCAAGTCAGTAATTGTAACATTGCATCTAAATATTTAAGCTAGGGGCTGGTAGTCGCGTGTCCCATTTACAGTCAGCATCTGTCCTCTAATTCCATTACAGTACAAAGCAAAAATGTTTCCCAAAACTCACAAACAGGAAAAGCATCACACAGCTAGAGAGGCAGCAGCAGCTTGAACTTTCGAGCTGCTGAGCAGGGCTTTTGTGCTAAGGTCCTTTTTTTTCCCTACCCCTTCAAACTCCCCACATACACACACTAAAATAGGGGTGGTGCCGAAATTGTATTAATGTGAGCCTCAGGCACACAGAAAAAAAGAAAAGAGGAAGGGGAGGGAGAGGGGGGAAGGGTTTGGTCCAAGATGAAAGTAAGAAGAAAATAAAGGAGGCAATTTAGTCTGCTGTAGCCTGAATTGCTCTCAGTAGAGCCAAGGGTAGAGGCTTGGGATGAGTAGGGCCCTTTTTGGACGGGTGCGCATGACTGGGGGAGGATCGGCCAGGACAGGGCCCGGGGGCCAATTCCGCTGGCCGGGAACAGAGCCCCCTTTGAGGCCGGGCGGGGGGGTCCCGGCCCCGGCCCCAGCCCCAACCCGCTCGCAGTGGGCCCGGGGAGCGGCTCTGCCCCATCGCTGCTGGTTCCTGCCACAAAACAGCAGCTATTTCACGGAGGGGACAGTTATCAGATTAGTCAGCAAACCRTGCCGCACACAACTCCCACCAAAGGTACAAGCAACTCCCTCTTCTCTGGTGGCGATGCTAAAAATAAGCCCTGATGTGCCATATAAAGCACAAAACTTTCTCATGTTCTTTATTTATGGCTCGTGCCTTTAAGAAAAAATTATCACGCATGCAGAAATACAGATATGCTATTATAGAGCTATCAGCTTCCTGAGACACACTCTGACAATCAAGTTTTCTTTAAATATATACCCAGAATGAGGCTTGAGGGTGCCGCTGGCAGAAATGCTGAAATGTATGTGCACACAGGGCTGCACATGTGGCATCTGTAAACAGTGTGAGAATCATATGTAAGTGTCCGAGGAGAGAGGCTGAAACAGAATCACACTGGGCATACAAAAGTCTACCTACACTTACGTATGCAGTGAGAGAAATCCCCATGATATACTGTTTCTATTACACATTTTTTAAAAGTATCCCGTTTCCATTCTCTCTAATCCCACTCCGCTAKGAGTACTCCCTAAATCTTGAATAAGTTGCCATTAAAATTACAATTTTTATCCTTGTCCTCAGAAAAAAAAATGCCACTTCTTGAGCCACCCGAAGGCCACAGTGAGAAGGGGTTTTCARGCAGCATCAGCAAATGCCCAGCACTAACATGTGCTCCCGAGCAGAAGAGCCACACTTTGCATGGTGCTCAGCCTCAGGAGTCACTCTCTGACCTATCCCACAGCCTTTCCCRGCACCCACATTCCAGGATACCTCAACCCCCAAGAACAGAGCTACAAAAATCCTTCTAGCTGCACAAAACCTCACACTTCTCTGTAACATGGAGCACTCAGCGCTGAGCTGGCACCCAAGGATAACCTTTGGATGTTCCACAAGCAACCCGAGTGTCAGAGAGGGCATCTGAGATGTGCTGCCAGCAGGCACCCTTTGCCACACCAGGCCTCATGGCCAGACTGGTGGGTGCTGGCAAATATGATCCCGCAGCATCAAAATCCTTAGGAGCGCTGCCAGTTATTTCAGTCAGAGAGCAGGATGATTTTTATAGATGGAGTGAAATCAAAGCTCCTGGGCTGGCAATGGGAGTTGAAGCAGAACAGTTTTGCTGGTCAGATACACAAAGTAGTGGTGGGCTTCTTTTATTTTTTTTTTCTTGTAATGTTTTCACTGGAGTGTTTTCCCTATAGTATCACACTCCACCTAAGGCACGAGTATGGCAACAAATGTTTTCTGGAGCAGCAGCGCGCTCGCACTGCAGCATCCCAGGCACTCAGTAATGAGATTAAGCAACAGCTTGCTAGTCAGGGAGGGGGAGCAGGCGTTGCTGTGGGGAAGAGCACACTCTCCCTCGCCCTGCCAAACCTTCCCAGCCACTGCCACAGAACAGATGGGATTACCAAAGCTGCCGTTTCYACGGAACTGTCCGGTCACGTTCGCTCAGCAAAAAACCGGCATGCCCAGGGTGGGAGAGGGCTGCGCTACCCCATGTAATCAAGGGGAAAATTGCTGCTGATTGAACTCCAAACAAACAAAGTAAGACACTCACATCCACAGAAAAGGGAAGGAGAGAGTATGTCGGGAGGTGGAATGCAGCCTCCTCATACGACTGTTCTGGGAGCCACGAGTGAGCCCCTCTTACAGCAAGACAGGTCCAGCCCGTGGTGTTCCTGCAAGAGTTTTGGGGTTCCCCATGGCTGGTGGGAGGCAGCCATGCACCCAGACACTGATTTATAATAAACGGGGAGCCCCACTTTAAAGGGCAGTCAGGCAGAGAACAGGAAGACTGTTTCAAAGAGAAACAGAAGGATGGATGATATTGATAACAGTTTTTTTTCTCTTGCCRTCTCTATTAAACACTCTTTGTTCCATGAAACAGTGATATTATCAAGGCTTACTATCTTCTGTTTCTAATCTCTGTCAAGAAATTCAAGGAGGAAGCAAAGCCAGTTATTTAACAACTAGGGCACTGAATTTAGCTATTTTTTATCTGGGTGCACATCCCTCCTAGAAAAACCCTCTCTTGAAGGAGATGATGGAAGAAACTCTGGACCCATCTACAGGGGCAACTAGACCTGGCAATCGAACTGTGCCTTCTGGCCTTAAAATCTCTAATTTTGTTAACATCTTCTGCATGTTTGTATTACACTCATCCTTGCAAACACAGACACACAGAAGATARGGCTTCCCTGAAAGTTTTAACAACAATTGCAAACTAAGTTTTAGGAGGGTTTAGGGGTTTGTTCCTACAAAACAAGGAAACATCCTACTTCTAAGAATAGATTTCAGTTGTCTTTGAATGGCAACAGCATCCCTTGATGCCTAGAAATGCTATAAACAYTTTCTCTCTAAAAACAGCTATTTTTTTTTTCCACGATGAAGAGTCCATAAAACTGCGTGGAGCATCAGCTATTAGGGGCTCATTGAATAATTCATCCCTCATTGCAAGCCCATAATGTCYTTTCTCAGCCTTTTGTGGGGCTGTTTTCTCTTCTTTTCTCCTTGAATTATAAAAAGGTTGCCTTCTTTTGTTCACATCAAGCTGCTGCTAGCTGAAGCTTTGTCTGTGCAAAGCCAAAGTGTGAGTTTCAATGGACTCCCCCCTCTTTGTTTTCCAAGTTCATCTCCAAGTGTAGATTGTGTATAGAAGGCCTTCTTTGTAAAAGCTGGAAAAGTTGTACAAATGTTTGACCAGCTCATTTGGTACTTTTGTCTCGCCTTCTCCAGCGCCTGTGCATGTGCTGGGCAGCGACTTCCACACACAGACGGCCCGGCCGGGCCCTGCCTGCCCCTGCACCCTGGCCCAGCCGGGAGCCAGGCATGGCTTCAACGGGAGAGCAGCTGTGCCCCAGCAGCAGCCCTTCACCTCCGCCTTGTTCAGGTTGCAACCTCCKCGCGGTCCCTGGCCAAACACCAACACACGCTCTTCCCAGCAGTTTTAAGAGCAGAAAAAAACAAAACATGTGGCTCCCTGCCCTGTTCAGACTGCAGAGACCCGCAGCCTTTTGCTGCAAGTGCCCCTTCTATGCAGCTGTGAGTTTCGTTTGGCTTGGGAAAGGAGCCCCTGCATTGCTGTGACAAGGGGCTCTGGTGGCTCCAAGACTCCCCGCTCCCTGGTTATTGAAAGCCAGGCTAACAGTGACTCCCATCTTTGTTCCAAGCTCTGTGCCATTCCTGCACACTGCAGGGTCATCCCGGCGGGGCAGTGGGATGAGATGGGATGCGGCAGCCACACCGTTCAGGGTTCATTCCTTGCCCTACACCTCCCGCCGCGCTGGCCCCAACACAACCGCTGGGAGAAGGGGAGCCATACCCACCAGCACCTGGGAGTGGCACTGGCCGGTCCCAGGGCTCCACACAGAGCAGGGGAAAACGGGAATTTACCTCTTTCGCTGAGGATGCCATCAATGCTGTGCTTGGCCTTCTTGTCGCCTTCCTCCACCTCCTTTCTTTCCAGCTCGGCCTCCTCTTCCTCGCCTTTCCCAAACTTGCTCCGCAGGATGCGGCTGATGGAGCTCACTTCAGAGGGGAGTGCAGAGCTGTGACCGGCTGGTCCCCAGCAGTCCCCGCCGCTCTCGGGTCGGGTCGGGGAGCCGAGTGCCCCAGCGGTGCCCCAGCAGTGCCGCCGTCCCGTGTCCCACGGCCGCTGCCAGCCGGGACTTCGGGGAGACATCCGCCCGCTCCCGTCCCCGCGGGGGTTTCACGGGGCACCGTCCCGCACCGGACTCCGGCGGGGCTCAGAGGCTCCCGAGAATCTTTCCTTCCCCCGAGCCCGCAGGGTGGGTGACAAAAGCCCGCGGGCACGGCACAAATATGCTCCGGCTCCGTGTGCCCCCGGCCCCATCCCGCAAACAGCCCGCGGGCGCAGGGAGCTGCTCCCTATCTCCTGCTTCCCAGCCCCGCGTCTCCGGCAAGCCCCGGGCCCTCCTGCGGCAGCAGCCCGGAGGGGACGGCGGGGAAGCTTCGGGAGGAGGAGGGGAGGGGGACGCAGTTGCGATTTAATTGAAAACACCCCGCCGAGCGCAGGAATCCTCCCGGGACGCGCCAGAGGCACCGCGTGCTAAYGCCGGCCGCTCCGTGGGCACCGGCCCGGCCCGGGGCTCCGATCCCCGGGGGACGGGGYTCACCCGGTACCGCGCTGCCCTCCCCGGACCGCCCCCGACCCTCCGGGACCCTCCGAATCCCCCGCTCCGTACCTGACGGCACCGTGTTGCGGTCACACACGCCGTCCTTCAGCAGCTTGTCCCGGATCTCCCAGCTGAACATGCCCGCGTTTTCCCGCTTGTATTCCTCGATTTTCTTYTCAACGTCCGGCGTCGTCACCTGCTTCAGTGAAGACAAGGCGAGCGGGCACAGTCTGTAGGGCCGGGGGAGCCCGGGCTGCCGCCGCCAGAGCCCCCGGGGCGCTCGGAGCCGCCCGCGCCGTCCCAGCGAGAGCCCCGCTTGGAAACGCCGATATAAAACACCCGAAGGCGGGCAGGGTAAAATAAGCGGGAACACAGAAGGTAATAACGGGCCCGCAGAAGACGAGCACCCTCCGCGTTAAACAAAACGTCCCAGAAAATCCTCCGGGGTTCCCGGGAAGGCGGGACAGAGCCCTCGGGAAGGAAAACCCCGAATTTGGCAACACCGGCTGCCGTGAGGCCGAGAAAACCCCGGGTCGCCATCAGCGGAGGACTCCGGGCAACGAAGCACCAGGTCAGTAAAGTTTCGGCTGAACAAAGTTTGCAGCTYCGAGCAAAAACCAGCATGATAAAAACGCGGAGAGGTTCGAGTGCTGGGATTTTTCTACGGTAGCATCGTGATTTTAAAATAAAATATAAATGTTAAAGTAAAAGCTAAAATTTAAACAAAAGAACGATCTCCCGGCTGGGAATAGCCTTACGTTTGAGTAACACGCTTGTAAAAATTTACCTCTACTCTCAACACCGAAAGGAAAAGTTCGGGCATCGAGACTTTAGAAGAATCAAAGAAGGGGGGCAGATTTACCTAGATTTAGCAACAACTTCCAATAAAAACCTCAAACCTTTACTTCGCTTTAGTAGGAAAGAAAAGCTAGAGGAGGAGAAGGAAAAGGCTAATCCTAGGGGGAAAATTCGTCTCCATTATTGTGAGCGCAAACTTTTCGGTGGTGTAGCTATAAATACACGCAGCTCTAGAGCAAGGAGAAAAAGTAAACAGAGCAGGAGAAGGAGCAGTAAAGAGACAGACAAATACAGGTCGTTTTGTTGCGCTTTGCAACGAAAATAGCGAGGGCCCGATCCAGCCGCGCTGGGTCAGCTCTGTCTCCGGACCGATCGCGTCCCGGTCCGTCCCGGAGCCCGTCTGGGCTCCTGCGGGAGTGAGCGTGGGGCACCCGGGGCTCTGGGAAGGCAAGAGCTAAAAAAAMCACCCTTTTCGCCGTGTTTTCGTTTGAGATTTTTTTAAAATAGAATTTCCTTAATTAAAAGTATATTATTGCCAAGAACTCGAACAACATTTTTTAAAGTCTGTGGAAGTTTGAAAGCAACAGGCGAGGATGCTGTCCCCGTGAGTGTCTGCGCCCACCTTCGGGCTCGCACGGTCCCCTCGACCCTCCCGGGTGCTGCCGTCCCGACTATAACCCCGGTGCTGGCCAGCCTGGGCCGTGTCCCGGCCGGACCTCGCTCCCCGCCACCGCAGCTGGGGTTTGCCCGTTTCAGGCGGGCGGGAGGGGCTCACCTTGGGCTTGCTGCCGCCGATGGCCCCCGGCCGGATGGAGCCCGTCTCCTGGTACCTGCAGAGAATTTTGGAGACGCAGCCGTGGGACACTCGCAGCTGGCGGGAGATGACACAGGGCCTTATGCCATGGTGGGCCATCTCCACTATCTTGTGCCGGATATGGTTGGGTAAAGGCCTGCCATTGATAAACACTCCTCCGAGCTGATTGACTCTGCCCTGGCCTAGAGGGGTAGAGACTAGAAAAGGAGGGAAGGGAGGCAGGGGGATAAATGGCGTTAACGTCTCCTTCGGATCCTGCTGCGTATTTTTTTATTGTTGTTGTTGTTACAGTTTTTTTGTCGTTGCTTTTCTAAGGCAACTCACCCCCKCCCGCCCCGCCGCCCCGCAGCGCGCCCGGGCCCCGCAGCTCCCGTAGAGACCCCGCCGCCGGCCCGGCGGGCAGGGGAGGGAGGCGGCCGTGGGCTTCACCTGTTGCACTCCGCCGGAGCCGGCTTTCAGAGCCCGCCCGACTCCGGTGGAGAAGGGGGAAGCGGTGCGGGAAGGCCGCAGTGTCCCCGRGAGCGGTGGGAGCCGCCGCAGCCGCCCGTCCTCCCTCGGGCAGGGGCCTGGTAGTTCCCGGCACTGCGGGGCCCTCGCTCTGTGGGTAAGAGCGGCCCGGTGCCGACCCACGGTTCTAAACTCCCTTTCGATTCCGTTCGCATTGTTTTTATTCGAGTTTAATTTTTTTCTAACTTTTTCCCGAACTTTGGGTTCCCCAAACCACCGCCCTTCACTCGGCTAAGAGAACAGGGATCGGTTCCTCCAGCTCCCGGGACGGGCCACTCGCAGCGTACGAGGCCGGAGCCGCCGGCTGCAGTGGCCCGAGCCGTGCCCGTTCCGGGACAAACCCCTGCTCTGACAGTCCGAGGGGGAGCCGGGCGGCTCTCCTGGAGTCCTCCGTGCGCCAGTTCTGGCGGGCCGGGGGGGAGCCGCTTTGTTCAGGCGTCCCGGCACGGAGCGATTATCCCTTTCCCGACCCTGGGCAGCCCAGGCGCGGCCTTACCTTCCAGCGGGAACCCGCTGCGGGGATAGTTCTGCCCGGCCCCGGGGCGCATCATCCTGGGGACAGCTCCGGCCAGAGTTGTCATCGCGGCGGCAGCGGCCGGCAGGGTTATATCCAGGTGAGGGCTGATCTAGGGGAGACCCGCGCTGTCAGCGGGCCCCGCCGAATCAGGAGCGGTCCCGGAGGGGGTGGGGGATGCCGCCGAGGGGCGGGGAGGAGGCAGCTCCGCCGCTGCCCCTTTGTCAGTGACCCGCGCTGCCCCGCACCGGGAGGGCAGGGGCCGGGCCGGAGTCCCGCCGGGCGGCGCGGCTGGGCGCGGGGAGGGCGGGGGGCGTTGGCGGTGTCCCCGGTGCTGCGGGGAGCGGCGGCCGCGGGGCCGGGAGCATTTATCGGCTCCGTGCCCGGCGCGGCTCGGCGGCGGCACCGCCGCGATTGGCCACCGCCGCCCGGCCCGGCCGCGCCGCCCCCGCTGATTGGGCGAGCGGGCGGCTCTCGCTCATCGCCCCGGCCGGCGCGACGGCGGCGCGACCGGACCGGCACCGCGCGGCTCGGCTCGGACCGCACGGCACCGCACGGCTCGGCTCGGCTCGGCTCGGCACGGCTGACACGGCACGGCCCCGCGCTGACCCCGCACAGCCGTGCTGGGGCCTTTCGCCGCAAGCAGAGGGCACCCGGCGATGGGGATCTACTCGGTGCCCCGACGGCCGCCCCAGCCCGGCGACAGAARCACCAGCCGGGGCGGCCTGGACATCGCATCCCTCAAGACCCCGTGTCACTGCGGGATTACACGGGACAGCCCMCGCCTGGCTGCCATGAAGCTTTTTTTCTCCTGGCTCCGCTCCCTGAGCACAAGCGGTGGGGTTGGGGGAACAACCTCCTTGCCATTTTCATTTTAAGGAAAAAACGCTTCTTCCATCATTCTTTCCTTCTACTCATTTACTTTGAACCGAAATCTCTCACCGTCCAGAAGAAGCGTCTCTGGAACAAATGGTGCTCACCGTTTTGAAAGCGAGAGCTGCCAGWGAGAACTCCGTGGGGATGTCTGCTTTTAAAAACCGGTGGGACAAGGGTGTCCCTGCGTTTCACGCGTGTGCGTGAGCGTTTATATGCGAGTGTGTATGGGTGCGAGGCGGTGCGTGTTGAAGTCTTACTAACAAGCGTTTGTTCCCAGGAATTTATTGTAGTATTCAAACTAAACTGCTGGAAAAATAAAAGAGGTAAAGTCTGCCTCGGAGCTGGAGTGCCCACAGCAGGATATGACGCCAGGAGTGTTGTAAAGACTGTCTGTCCTTAGAGAAGGTACCATTGTGCACGGCCTTTTATTTATAACTTGGTAAGTGCCAGCAAACTCGCCTCCTTTACACTCCGAAGTGCCAGCCCGGCTTTCCACAGGGCTCTTTATTTGCAATCGTCTATTCAGGAACTGTCACTCCCGAGCTTCAAGTTATTCAAGACCTTAATCAATCAAAAGGATGAGAATCGCTCAGGTTTCTTCCTTTGAAATGAGGGGAAAAAATGTTTTCTGGGCTCCCAGTCCGCGTTCCCTTTACGAGCCGGAGAATCGTTGAGGGGCCGGGGCCGGCCCCAGGGAGGGCGGGGGTTCGCGTTATTTAGGCAGAAATCGGGAGCCTCAATAATAAGCGAACCGGCCGCCGAGGGACCGGCAGCAGCCCGRCGCGGCCCCCGGGGAAACGCGAAGTTTGCGTCGGGCTCCGCTCCGCAAAGAGGGGCGAGGGGAACGCAGAAGAACCGGCACCCGCTGCACGTCGGGGAGGCTCTGACCCGYGGTCCCCCTCTCTCCAGCCCCACGCGCCGGCCACCAAACCGAGTGGTTTCCCCCTCTTTCAAACGCACACAAACAGATCCAAATACCGGGTGCTGCCCGGGGACTCTCCTGTTCCCCAAGGAAAAGGCTGGCAGGAAAAGTTCGCACTCAGTGAAAGCGTACATTTCGTAAAGCGTTTGTGTTCTACAAACACCCCGGTGTCCGGAGCTCTGGGAAACCCGTTAACGAGCCCTCTGAAACCCAGCCCCGTGAGACCCGGGCCGAGCCGGGCCGTGGAGCTCCCGCGGGGGCCGGGGAGCGCAGGGCCGGCAGGAGCCGTGCGGCCTGAGCCGTCGCTCCACAAACAACGCCGAGCCACTCGCCACGAGTCTTTTACTGGGGGAAAGGAGTCGGTAGAAATGTTATTGAAAAAAAGGACCAACCTACATAGGGTTTAATTCGCGCTTGGGAAGCCCGCGGCGGGGAGCAGGGCCGCACGAAGTGCACCCGGCGCTAAGAGCATCCCCGTRGCCACCTAACTCCCCAGCGGTACCTCTGCGGCTCCGAACAGGAGAGCAGAAACCCTTCCTACCCATCGCGATSGGGCTACCATCGTGATGCTCGGGCCGCAATCCTCGTCCACTCGAGGAGGGGAGCGAATGAGGATTGTCTCGACCCCTCACCGGCGGAGGAGGAGCGGAGCCCCTCATCCCGGCAGGACAGCCAGCTTGGGCAGTGGTTTTGAGCTGCGTCCCCCCTCCTTTAACGACGCGCCTTCGTGTGCGTGCCGCGTGTTTTTGAGGGGAGGCGATGTCGCTCCCGGGGCAGCCCGGCAGGCCCAGCCCGTGCCGGCCCTTCCAGAAATCGCCTCGGGAGCTCCGGAGCCGCCGCTGCTCCCGGTGACCGTCGGGGGCCGGGACAGGGGCGGCCTGGGCTCCCCCGACACGGCTGGCGGCTCCCGCAGCAGCTCCGGTTCCCCTGTCCGCGCCCGGCCCCGTGGGGCTGCCGTGACCCCCGCCACCCCAGCGCCTCCCCCAGCCCCAAAGCCGAGCCCCGCTTCCCCAGGACACGCTCCGGGCCGGGCTCGCGTGGACGGCAGGGGAAAGCGGTGTGAAACCCACCTAGTCTCGCCCTCGCTGTCCTGCGCTACCAGACACCGAGTGGCCCGCGATGAAACAGCCTCATCTTCCCGCACGGGAACTGTGAAAAATTCAAGGCAAAAAGATTAGGCACGAACGCCTGGCCCCGCTCCTCCCTCCCCTCCTCGCCCCCACCCCCATATTACAGTCCTTTAGGCCAAGCAGAGATGATTTCACGGTTTTCCAGTGGAAATAGCTAAAAACGCTTCTGCTAATTACAGAGCTCTTCCAGGCCAGGTGCACTTTTAATTGGATTAGTAAGTGCTCTATATTAAACCTGCAGCACATCAAATGGACAGTGAAAATTAGAGCCATTAAGGACACAGGCAATCATTTCTGAACGATAAACAGTGTTGGTCTCTCCTTTATTAGAAATAAATCAATTACACTGTTTCYGGCTTTGCGCGCACAAATTCATTTCTCATACGGATTTCGAAGCGAATTCCCCGGCTATTTCCAAAGGAGGTGAAGTGGAGAGGAGACTACAGTTTAGTATATAGAAACGTGTACTTGGAGGAAAAAAAAAAA